CCCTGCTGAACAAAAAATGTAATGGGCTCTAACTTAAATAATGGCTAGTTACTGGGCTACAGCCAGTCAAACATGGAAAATTTGGGCTCCGCGGGTCTTGTTGGGAAATGCTTTGAAGCATATTAGGAAAAAATATTTCGGACAAAAGTTGTTTGGTTCGAGATTAGTGTCTTTGAAAAACTCTTGACATAAAAATGTGCAATGAAAAATGGGGGTGTCCATTTAAGAAATTGAAATTTACCTTCATGTGACCTTCAAATGATTATCCAAGGTCAAATTAATGGCATCGCCTTATGTCTCCCTTCCCAGTAACTAGTCATTATTTAAGTTTGAGCCCATTATATTTTTTGTTCAGCAGGTCATAAGCTACAACATATGTGAAAACTAGCCAATTTAACCGAGATCCAATTTCCTATATGATTAGTGCGGGGTTCTTTCTTTTAAAGTTCGCAAACTATTAGAATTTTGGGAAATTCCGCAAGTTTTAATGAAAAGTTACGTGAAAAGTCGGGAGATTTTTTCTCGAGAAATGAGTAGACACCCTGAAGAATGTAGAGATCAAAATGAGATGACTCTTTCTCTCTCCTTGCGAGAATATATCAAAGAACCTTAAAGTTGGGTGCTTTTTCAAAAACCTTGGACCCTCGGAAGCTTCCGGAAAGCTTCGAAATGAAGGAGAGATCCTTCCTACGGAACACCACCGGTCGGCGACGCGGTGATTCTCGAGCGCGTAGACGCACGCGAGCACGTGAGGGCGCGCGAGCACGTGGGAGCGCGAGCACGTGGTAGCGCGGGCACGTGGTAGCGCGTGCCGCGTTGCCGCGCGGCGAGCGGTGCGAATGCGTATGTGTGCTTCAGCATTTCAAGATCAAGTGTCTGTAATGTGATTGTCGAGGGCTGGTGTAATCTGGTTGCAGAATATTGATGGATTAATGATGGCACGTCAGTATGATACGGGTAAGCACGGTAGCGAGTGCTACCGACCTATACCGGTGCACACGCCGAGTAGTCGCCGGGCGCCGGCGTCGAAGCCGTACGTAGCCAGCGTAAACTCGTCGTCCGAGGCCACCGCTCCGCCCCCGAGCGCGCCACCCCCGAGATACGACTCGGACTACGATTACAAAACTACCCACTACCCGTCGTATCCCCCGAACTATCCTTACGACGATAACAAGTACAAGTACGAGGGCGGCGGCGGCGGCGGTGGCGGTGGCGGTGGTGGTGGCGGCGGTGGCGGAGGCGGTGGCGGTCAACAGCAGGCAGCTTACAACGCCTACAACGAGAAGCCGGGCTACGCCGCCTACGAGGAGTCCGCCGCCTACGATTCCCGCGGCTACATGCCGCCGCCGCACGCGAACGCCGCCGCGGCGCCCGTCAACCCCGCGTATCCGCCGTCTGACGGCGAGTACGGGTCGCGATACTACGGCGAGGGACGCGCCGCCACCTATCCGGCCGACGGCTGTGTCGAACAGTACGACAAGGGCAGGTACGGCGGCTACGGGTACGAGCAGCAGCGGTGCTACTACGACCAGGCCGACGGCCGCTACGCCGTCGCGGCTGACTGCAGGTACGAGGTGCGTTATCCGGACGCGAGACACCCTGGCGACGGCCGGCACCTGCCGGTCGATCCCGCCCGGGAGCCAGACTGCCGGTACGTGGACGGCCGCGAGATGGACAGGCGGTATGTCGTCGACGGCAGGGAGCACGTGGACGCCAGGTACGCGATGGACAGCCGGGAGATCGAGGCCCGCTACGCCGCGACGTCGGACGGCCGCGAGCCGGTCGTCGACGGTAGATACGCCGACCCGTCGAGATACCCGACGAAGGAGAACTACTACGACCGCTACTACAAGCACCGGCCGTCGAGGGATCACCACGTCGCGGACGCGTCGAGATACTGAGGAGGAGATTCGTAATTACAATCAGTCGTGTTTTAATGGGAATACGCGCGGCGACGAGAGAGTCGCCGATGGTTGTTTTTCCCGCTAGGAAATTCGAGAGAGAGAGAGAGAGGGAGAGAGAGAGAGAGAGAGAGAGAGACGAGCACATAATTGTACCACGCATCTACGAGATATCGATGAATGTTGACGTTGTCACTAGTTGCTTGCGATCACATCATTCCAGCGAATTTCTCGGAGATTTCGCGAGGCTCGTACGAGATGCGCCGAAATGTTGTATGACTGACAAATCGGGAAATCAGGAGAAATTTGTTTTATATGATTTTACATATGTGTATACACAGGGTGTGTCCTAATTCCCGGATGTCCCGTACGTAGATGGTAGACAGACCGAGGCAAACTGAATAGAAAAGTCCTAGAACATTTTGCAAAATTCGCAATAGTTATCGAGAAATTAATTTTAATGTCTGAGCGCAAGAAAGCGGGGTAATTCTACAAAATAGGGCCTTTTCCGAATGTTGATATTTTCTTGCGGTTTTCTTGGTAAAAACCTTTGTTGCGATTCGGACAGTGATAATCAATCGGGGGAGCCCGAAAAATATGCATCCTACCTATGTGGAACAGTACAACGGTGGAAGTACATGCGTGGAGACAGTATGTTCCGCCCCCCCGCAGGGGGAGGGGCTCCACTTCGTTCAGATATAACCTAACCCAAACTATGTCCGAGGTGTGGAGTGGATCTCGCTTCACGTGGAAACCCATGTGGAACAGTACAACAAAGCATGCACTTCTCCACCGTTGTACTGTTCCACATGGGTTTACGACTTTCCACGTGAAGCAAGATCCGCTTTACACCTCGGACATAGTTTGGGTAGGGTTATATTGCAATGAGGTGGAGCCCCCCCGCAGGGGGGGGGCGGAATATATTGTCTCCACGCATGTTGTACTTCCATGACGTACGACAGATGGACTCCCCCGATTGATTATCACTGTCGGAGTCACAACGAAGGTTGTTACCAAGAAAACCGCAAGAAAATATCAACATTCGGAAAAGGCTCTATTCTGTAGAATTACCGAGAGCAGAATTGGACACACCCTGTATACAGGGTGTGTCGTAAAGGCTGTCTGAAACTTTTACCATAAGAGGTGAATTACCGACCGCAGCTAACCAACTCGGGAAGAAATCGATAAAATCACGTAATATGTAATTATTTCTCGAGAAATGTAATTGGATATTACATGATTGAGACATGTAGGACGAGGTTTAATCAATTTTTTTTCCCCGAGTTGGCTACAGTTGCGATCGGTAATTCACCTCTTACGGTAAAAGATCGGGACAGCCTTTACGACTCACCCTACATATGTATACATATGCATAAAATTCTTATTTGTTTTTTCGACGATTAATTAATTATTGTTGTCCGTCGCGTGACTTGTTGAACACTTTTTTTATCGTTGCGCCGAGACACGAGAAACAATCGATATTTCTTATAAAAAGAAACTAGCAAAGGTTTTATTATTTTACTTTCTTTCGCGTTACTTTAGATTTTATAAATTTACTACTGATATGAAGAGTATTTCGTTGATCACGGACTATTTTAGGAAATGTTGGGAGTGACTAGAGAGATGCGTGGTATAATGTATGGAAAATTATAGAGCCTTGTCTTTCACTTGAGCCGCTTTCGAAACTTTGTTTGACTTTTACATTACTCGTCTATTTCGCGGTTTTTTTTGTTTCAAGTGATACATCGTACGCATTTAATTTTAGCTAAATTATCTCATTGTGCAATTTAAAGATCAAAGCTTAAATATTTATTCAAGACAAGAATATATTTACGGCAGATTGCAAGTGATATATTTTTAATGAAATACTTCTTATCGGAAAAATTTTTTTTTAATTATATGTTTTTCTTATGCCAATTAACTCTTATTGTTTTACGCATAAAAGTAATGAAGAATGAAATATGAGACAATTTGTTAGGTCGCATTCCTTTTCTGAAACTGTGAAACTCTAGTGGAAAAAAATTTCTCGACTGTACGCACAATAGAGATAATTTAGACGACATAATCTCATATAACCGATCAAGTTAACATTAAAAGAAAAAAGCATTTATACATATATTCCCATTAATTCATGATGTTTGTTAAATATAACAGATATGTTGTCTAATGGTAGAGATAATTAGTCTGGAATAACTGTTCACACTTGATCAGATATGTGCTTATTCAAATCGAGATACAGTGTAATATAGCATGAGATTCTCTACATTGTGAACATAAAGAAAAAGACATTGTACAGATTGATGCATGGATTTCAAAGTGGTCATAGTGCTTAAGTGTTCATTACATAACATATGTGAATTTATTATATATGTAAATCGAGCCGAGCTGGCGTCTTTTCTTGAACCGACAAATATTAAATACTTAAGAATCTTTCTTGATACAATTGCAAAAACTTGACGTTTAGTGCAGATTAATTGCAATTCGACGGAACGCTAGAGTCCTAAGGCGGATGCGAGAGATTTGCTTGTGTCTACGGAAGTTGGATTGTGTGCATGTGATCAGACCGGATGTAAAGAAAAAAAAACCCCCCGTAATGTAATTCGCGCCACGTTTCGCCATTTCCCTTGGACGAAAAAGGCTACGCGTCTCGCAGAGCGATTCTACCGTCGCCGGCGATTGTGAGCAATGTGCACTGTACGCAAGTTTTTACCTCACTGTGAAAAAACCTGTCGTACATTACTCATTGTGCGTTTGTGTGTAGGAAGGAATGATACAACAAGTACCCTGCAAGGTATTCGTCGGCCGCTGTACTGAAGATTTAACCGCGGACGACCTACGAGATTATTTCTCCAAATTCGGCGAAGTGACGGACGTGTTCATCCCGAAACCCTTCCGCGCGTTCTCGTTTGTTACTTTCCTAGATCCCGAGGTCGCCCAGTCGCTCTGTGGCGAAGATCATATTATCAAGGGCGTCTCGGTACACGTCTCGAATGCCGCGCCCAAGTCCGAGGGCAACAATAAGAATTTCAACAATCAAGTGAACTCGAACATGCGGGGCGGCAGGGGCGCGCCGGGACCCGTCGATAATAATGTCCAGGGCAATTATCAGGGTAATCGTTACATGGGCCATTCGGGCAACAATATGGGCCCGAACGGCTGGAACAATCCCGGTAATCGTGGCAACCTCGACATGCCGAATCTACAGGCTCTAGGTATCACCGGGCAGAACAACGGCGGTGGCGGCGGGGGCGGTATGTCGAATCCGCTGGCGATGGGTGGTCTGAATCTGTCCGCGCTGCCGGTCAACCCGGCGCTGGTGGCCGCCGCCCTGAACCAGGCGTCCTGGGGTCTGATCGGTAACCTGCAGAACCAGGGAAACGACCAGGGTTATTCGAACCAGCCGGGCCCACCGGGCCAGCCGCCCTCCGGTAACAATACCATCGGCAACAGCGGCAATTCCGGCTTCCTCAGCTGGATGAACCAGGGCGGCGGCGACGGCAACACGGGCAATCCCGGCACCGGCGGCCCCGGGCCGAATAACCCGAACGCGTCCCAGGGCGCCTGGCAGAATCACCCGGGCCAGCGCGACCAGAAGTCGAATACCTTTCTCAAGTACGAGTAAATTCAACCGGGGCCGTGGGTCTACTCGTAAAACCAAACGGATCCTCTATCCACGGGTCCCGACGCAACAACCATAACGAACGGTGATAACTTGAACCGCGACGAGATCGACGCGCTTCCTGGAGGAGAACGCGCTTCTTCTCCAAGAAGCGCATCAATCCCGTCCCAGGAACAAAAAAAAAGAATGAAAACCAGAGCCTATAGTACGTTGACGTTTTTTCTAATGTTTTGCACTAATCGCCACTGCGTGTATTATAATGTTTCGATATCCCCCCCTTCCTCCACCTCTTATTGATTTAACAAATTAGCACAATTCCGTTCGTTGAAAGAAATGGCTTAGGTTTATGATAAATAAAGGCGGATAGCTCCGATCATGCGTGACGCCCGCTTGCGTCGTCTCTCTGGTGTGAGCGTACGATAAGATATGGTTTAAGTAAAATCGACGATACGTGTGAGGTTGATGTGTGAGCGGCGTTGCTGTGCGTCAAGGGTGAGATTGTATAATCGAGTACATTTATCGCTTAGCGTAGTGATTGGTAAACCGAGTAGTTTATACTCTGTTATACCTGACGAGATCTGAGTCTCAAGAAGGCTTAAGCTACTTCAAGCATTTATCGACCCCAGTGAAGCGTACACTAAACTGTATTCTTACCCAGACAAAAATTACTGCCGCACAGCTCGTATAGAGAATAATTATAGTTACATCTCCATTCTATTTAAGTGTGTAACATTTTCATGTAGAAAATAATTGTAGCCACAATCGTTTTTTTCCTTCATTTTTTATTTAAGTATACAACGTTTACCCATCTAGCAATTATTGTTTAACTATTTGGAAGTGGGAAATAGCTCAAGTCTTCCTTTGTCGCAAATCTTTTTAACAAAGGGGGCTTTAATGAATATTTACTTGATAGCATTTGTTGAGATATTGATTTTATCTAATCGCGTCTTTGGTTTAATCGTAATTAACTGAATTTTCTCCCCTACGTCCGTGTCGGAAATTGCGACGTAGGAGGAGAGACTAGATCGATCGCCTTAGTCGCAAACCAAGTTGGTTTGTAACCGGGACGACCGATCTAACAGGTGCAATGTGGTTGGTGACTGCGAGACCAAAGCCAATTAATCTGAGTATCGAATTGAAAGCCGCGTCGAATTGCTAGACGTAGTAAAAGGCGTTTGTATGTATTTAACGATACAATATGATGACTTGCCACTTGAATGCTATTACATGGAATTTCATTTCATTTCTTGCGCATTATTGTTTAACGACGGATCTCTTGATTATTTTAGAATTATGATTTTTTCCCCTGTATTTTCCGTGTATACTGAAGATCCAGAATTGCGAATTTTGCTGCCGCGAGAATGAACGGTTTCTTCCGAATCGAGGGTCCTCCGTCTTAAAGCCCGCGGTTGCTCTTGAAATGTTTTTATCTCTCAATAACATTTTCCAGCAAGATGTTTTCTCGCGACAATTTTATTTCGTAACCCACTGTAACATCGCCGTTGCACGAGCGAGAGATTACTCATGTTAACTTGCCTCAAAGAGACCCATTCCAAAATAAATTCGGAACAAATGTTACGGAATAATGGGTTTTTAAGATTACAAGAATTTCGGAGAAAGAAAATAGATTTTCGTCGAGAGATAATCAATATTGAAATAGAAAATTAGCTGTGCTTAAACCGAACATTGTTTTTGGTTGTGACGCAATGTTATTTCTGTGGAAACCCAATCTTATTCTCTTTCGCTGTATTCTTTACCGGCTTCGCAAAAGATCCATCATTTTCCAAAATATTAACAAGATCGTAGGAAAGAGTGTACAAATTGCGATTGATGTGACTGTCTGAAAGTGTATGAATGTGTCAGAATAGCTCGCAGCACACCTAGAGACTGATCGCAGCTATCCGTATTGTATATTATTATCTATTTGAACTTCTGTTTCAAATATCTCAAATGTAACACATAAATAGCTTATTATGTGAGAATTTTACACTAGTGTGCTAGGTGTGTCAAAATTATCGATCGATGTGTGTGAAAGAAAGTCGTTTGATCAGATTTTTTTCCATTTTAATTGAGTGATTTGAAGAAAGCGCGGGAAGAAAACTGTCTAGATGTCTTATATGTCTGTGTATAATGTGTCATAAGTTCTGAATGAAATAACACTTGATGAAAAGACTTTCGAGCCGATTTCCCGATTGAACGATAATGAAAACGATAGCTTTACTTGGTCGAGAGTATTTATTTTTCAAAGAAAGAAAGAAAGAAAAAAAGAAAGAGACTCATAAGCACGAAGAAGGATGCAATTCACATCTCACAGTTATAGTCAATAACTTTAACATAAACAAAATAGCTACGTCGCAGTCGAACATAAAATACCGCATTTGTCGCCGCGACATCACTGTATATCACATTAAAGGAATTATTTAGATTGACTATTTCAGAGCTACGCTAATTATCTCTTATGAGTATATTAATTGAGAGAATAAAATAATCCTTCTATTATAAGAGATGCATGTATACTGTTGTGCTCTTCGTTTGGTCGTATAGTGATTTTTCATCGACTTCCTTCTTTCGGACGCGAGACATTACTTAATATAACAATTTTAATAATATACTCTCTCGCTCTTTCTCTCTCATTAGCGTGAATTCTCGTCGGTGTTTCGCGTGTCGCGTGTACAGGTGGGAAGAAAAACAAAGTCTCCTCCAGCTTTGAGAGTGTCAAACTGAATTTGCTCGACGCACGTGTGGTGCGTGTGTGTGTGCGCGCGCGCAGCGAGATAGGTTGAATGTATTTGTTGATGGTCGTCTCAGAAACTATAATATACAGGCGTAAGTTTTTACTACTTAGCAAAAGTGATGATGTCGTTTGTTTAGAGCACCGAGAACGCGTGTACTTGGCGGAGCGAGTTGAAGAAATGAGGTGACTGAATAATAATGCGCGAGGCGAGCGAGGGAACGTTGCGGTATATAGATGAGAATGAGCAAAAGTCGTCCAGTGTGTGTCTGCTATACATTTAGATTGAGAAGAGGTTGTTTATATACGTAGTGTGTGTAAAAAAAAGAAGAAGGTTAAATTATATACGCAACACACATACACACACATACTCACACACACATATGTACACGTACATACGCATACAGGTTTCAATGAGAAGTTTCAACGGACGATGTGGAGTTGATCGCGCATTCTGCCACGCTATTAAGTCTATAAATTGTTAAAATAATCTATCTAGAAGCTGCGGTTTAAGACAAGCCTTCAGCAGACACTGGAACCGTACCAAGCTTTCGTCGCCGAGGCACGAATGTTCGCGCTTTTAATCCCATTTACATCTGAAAATGTTTTCAGGGAGAAATGTAGTTCCTGACGGTGCGAGAAGCGAAACAAAAAAAAATAGAATAAAATAAGATAACTTGTGTAAGAGATGAAGTAAAATCGTTGATGGATGACTGGATAACAGTTGACTGGTCAGTTCGAACATTCGTGCGTGAGTCGTCGCGATTACAGATCTACGTGGTCTGACAATTAAGTTTTGTAGACGTGTCTCTTATTTTTTTATTACCCACTGAAAACAACACTAGAAGTAGATCGGTACACTTTCTCGTCTCTTCGTTTACATTTTGTTTTAATGGCGCGTAAACAATATGCCGGATACTCGTTATTCATTTGCGATTATTTAGCTGGAATGTCAATTATTTGTATTAGATTCACATCGATCCTATTACACTCAATACTGTATTTACTTACGTCGTCTGAAATAAGTTATTAACCGGTTATTGCGATAAATATCACCGTACGCCTCGGTAATCGAATTGACAAAGGTGTCGCGGATTGTAGGGAAATTCGAATTCTGGCCGAGGCAATTTTTATCTTCCGCAAAGAATTCTCTGTGATTTTAATATGATGCTTATTAAAAATGAAATCGACTTAAAAGTATGTGGATTTATTGTTCCAACAAAAAGCTGTGTTTTAGGACCGACAAATAATCAGCGCGTGCAGTTCACCGAAGTTGAGTTGAGAAAAGTATAAAAGGTTCACGCAGAAATCCTTATTATTAGACTACCAAGCTCCAGTCCGATCGAAAATGGCATCTTCTTTATCTACTTGTAACGAATATTTTTGTTTCATTTGGAAAGAGAATCCTTTGTTCGGGTATAGAATCGGCAACGACGTGCCCCTGAACTACCCTAGTAGCACAGCGCATTGACCAAGCATCGGCCCAATATTTGGTTGTATTGGGCCAACGTTTAGCCAATGCACTGTGCTACTAGGGTACTCGGCCCATCCAACGATGCCGCAGACGGAGATAAAAATAGTAGCAGTGAAACGATCTCTTGAAATTAAAGTCCTAATTTTAAGAGACGACATGTAAAACTTATTTTAGAAGAAATGAAATATTTTTATCACCTCGTTTAAGTGGAATTCGAAGCTGTACGCGGGGTTAGATCAACGTCTGTGGATTCTAATTGTCAGATCACGTATTTCAAGTCGTTTAAAATAGCGGTACCTACGGCATTACCGGCATCTTCTCGCGATCCCTCAATCAGTGAGTTTCTCGCGCGGGACGAATAGTGTCCATTGCTCAAAGGATGCAAAACGATTTGGAAGTGATCTTATGAGGTGTGTAAATATGGACTGATATAAAGCAATTTTAGTATCGCTCACCAAAAAAATGTAACGAATTTTATTGTAGAGTTAGCTGCGCTCTGTAAAGTCGCTCGATATTGTTGCGCCCCGAGAGAGGGAGAGAGAGGAAACGGGGATGAAGCTGTACGAGATACGTGTGTCGTGGAAACGTTTGCCGTGTGAGAATGTTTGATTCCGATCCGTCGATCTCGCGGCTGTTAAGGGGAATCCCTCGAGCCGCGCCGGTGGAAGAGCGCGGCGGCGAGGAAACCGCGAATCCGGCATTCTTTTACACTTTTGAGACATATACTTGGAGCTATATACAAACGAGTCAAATGTGAGTCGAGGCTACCGTGGATTTTTTTACGTGTGCGAGAACGACTTGATTTTTGCGCGTGTATCGCAACCCGTCGAGCAAAAGGGAGAACAGTTGATCGCGATCTCTTTGTCCAGCAGCGGCGGTGTGCTGTGTGCGAGATCTCGTAAATGTGAAAATTAGGATCGGAGCGCAACGCGACGAGACGTGGGTCGTAAACGTAGCGCACAAGTTTTGACGTAAGTGTAACATCGTATGTAATTGAAAGTATACGATATACGTCAAAGCTTGTGCGCCGTCTGCGTTTATGACTTACGTCTTGCCGTTTTCGCTTTGCGCTCTGATCTCTGGATGATCGCGTACGACATCGCGTTTCCCAGTTCGTGCCGACGGTATTGCCGTGAAGCTGTAAAACGTTTCGCCGAGTTGATACTCAATGCTCTCCGTAACGTTCTCCGTTGATTGTAGTGTACATTGAATTATGCCGAGAATAAAAGACCCAAGCATCGTGGGGGTACCACAGATTCCTTTAAATGCGAATCGGCGATGCACAATCGCATCCATTCGGGCTGGCTGTCCCGGGATTGGCGGGGGATGAACGTGTGTCCCTCGCAAAATTTTCAATCCCCCCAGTTGCTTGTGTGCTAATAATTTGTGGAACTGCGATGACATTGCGTGGAAATCAATGTCCACCAGCCAGTACTCACACGGCACAGAAAGATTGCAGGAAGATTGCAGAAATGTTACATTGCAAGATTGCAATATTGCAGCAACGTTGAAATGTCTGCCCTCGGAGAGATTGCAGTGCAACATTATAGCAATGTTGCAGTGCAATATTTTTGGAATAATTTGTTGTAGTTGTACATAAGCAGAGAATTTACTAATTACATATACATCCGGGCCTTTTTCAATACACAGCAAGCTATTGCGAAGCAACCTAAGGAGATTATGTCGCTCCGCAATAGATGGAGATTGCGAGCAACACCGCACTGATCAAGTACTTAATAATTCGCGCATTATTGGTATCAACGAAAATAACATTATAAAATTCTCGTAATTAGAAAAATTTTGTTAATAGAAAATATAGTATTTTCATTATTTTTGAAACATTGCTGCAATATTGCTATCGAAAGTTTGCAATTTTATATCCCTGCAGTGTCTCTGCAAGATTGCAACGTTTCTGCAATGTAACTGCAACTATCTGTGCTGTATGGGTAGAGATAAATCGTTTTGTTGCGAATCAAGTTTCAGAGATAAGAACGAACGATAAAACATCGTCGGTCATTTGACATCCGAGCGGGTTTTGTTTCGACGGAATCGAAGATTTCGCCGAGTTGCGCGGAGCGATGATCTCTCTTTTACATCCAATTTTGGGACAGCCAGGATATTTGACCAGTCCAAAACTATCGCGCCTGCAAAACAACAACAATTTCAATATAATACGCGTATCCTCGGACATGAAGAAGTATTTAATTTAGGTAAAACTTGACGAAAGGGGACACCGTTCCAATGTCCTTAATCTTGACATGTTATCAAAATCGTCACACTCTGAGTAATCTACAGGAAGTTTTAGCCGTCGCTTATTATTTATTAAAAAATAATTAATAAAAAGACTTTTATAAAAAATAAGATCGTACATTCTTGACCTCATATACAGGGTGTCGTGCGACCCTCGGATCAACCGGAACTTATTAGGTGCGTAAAAAAGTTCTGAGATTTTTTTTGCAAAATTCAATCTTTGTTCAAACACAAACAAATAAATATTAATCACAAATAAATATTCCCCGTTTGCATCGATGACCTCTTGCCATTTTTCGGGTAGCTTGCGAATTCCTTGACGATAGAAGCTCACCGGCTTCGAAGCGATAAAGTCATCAATGCATGCATTTTCGTATCTCTTCAAGTCTCGCAAAAAGTTTATCAGCTAAGTGATGCTGCAGCGACCGGAATAGGTGGTAATTAGAAAGCGCCATGTCTGGGCTGTACGCCGCGTACGGAAGAAGTTCCCAGCCTAACGCAAAGATATGGTCTGACAAGGGGAAGCTCAGGTAACACCCTGGGATTTCGATGCCAATTTTTTTGGTTATTCTGGAGGTGAAAAAAAGAGATACGTGTCCCGGCGTTTGATTGAATAGGCCTTGGTTTCGGAGTAATAAATTTGTGAAAATTGAAATTTATTTATTTTTATTTATTTCGACGATACTGATATAGTGTGCAAATTTTCGAAGTAGAAATTTTATTATCACATTATAAACATTAATTTAAATTTAATTTTAAGGGAATTTTAATTCCAGTAGTAATTGAAATAATAAATAAGTAATAATAATATAAGTTATTTGTAATAAAGGTAAGTTATCTGAATTTTCAAATTGTTTAAATTTAAAATTTCATTGGAAATAATATTAACAGTATTTTAAATTTCTAGTTTTTAAAATAATTAGTAGTAGGGGAAGAAGAATAAACAATAAAAAAAATTCAATTTTCACAAATTTATTACTCCGAAACTAAGGCCTATTCAATCAAACGCCGGGACACGTATCTCTTTTTTTCATCTGCAGAATAACCAAAAAAATTGGCATCGAAATCCCAGGGTGAGTTACCTGAGCTTCCCCCTTGTGAGTTGCTTTCGTAAAATGTAATCGGGCATTGTCATGAAGCAGGATCACTTTACAACGTCCTTGGCCAGTAAATGGCCTCTTTTCTTCTAACGTGTCACTCAAATTGGTCAATTATTGTTGATAGCGGTCTACCGTGCTTGTTTCACCATTGTTTCACGCTAAACCGCGTGGCATTTTGACAGGCTAAATGTCAACGCTTTAAAATCGCAAAGGGACGGGAAGATATATAAAATTGAAATTGTTGTTTCGGTTGTATGAGATCTAAAGCTTAGAACTTTTTTGCGCACCTAATACATAGAGCGAGGCAAACTGATTCGAAAAGTCTTACGTCATTTTGCAAAATTCTCAATAGTTTTTACGTAAAAACTGTAGATAACTTTTGGAAATTTCAATCCCGCGCGAAACACAAAATTTTGAAAATTTACCCATGTGAAACTGTATGACAACAGTGTCGTCCCGAAAACAGAAAATACGAGGGGTGGACCTCCCGTGGAAAGTCGAAAACTTATGTGGAACCATTGAACTAATTCAAGTTGGTAACTTTTTAATAAACAACAAACGACTGCTGAAACCTCTTGGAGGTTTCTTAGCATAATACAACAACGTAGGTCAATGTCATTGGGGCGGAGTTCCCTCTTTTCGATTTTTCCCTCAATTTATCGCATATAATCCGATAAAAATTCGTAACGAAGCCGCCCGCGCGAATAGAATTCTTCTACGGCCCCGTTGGGGAGGCAAGTTTACGCATTTAATTGAAAGCGACATGGGGAGGGGGGCGTGGGGCGACGTTTATATATAATATAATTGTAGAATTGTAAAAACAAGTGGAAGGGTTTGTAAAAAAAAAGGTAACGATAACAGAGCCGCCGGTAGCCGGCCTTCCGGCGACGGCCGAATGAAGACGATGACTGAAGTAAACGTAAGCCTACGGAAACGTCCGCTGATCCTTCTGAAACAGGTGATTAAGATCTGACATTATTTCTCTTTCATAACGCCTCATCATCTCTCATCAACGATCAAGTTAACAATCACTCTCATCGACACACTCTGGCTTTCCGCAATTTTCGAGGAATTAATTTTTCACGCATCCTCCATCGATATTCTTTTCTCTTTTTTTTTCTTTCAAGTACTTTCTTTCTCGAGTCGTCATCATACGCATTCGCCACATTCGCAATACTTTCTTCCTGAAACAGGAAAGATGCCTCCTCCCCCCGCCAGTCATGCGTCTTTTGGAACGTAGCCCCCTCTCCTTTCGAATGTCTCACGTGTTCTCTTCCGCAATAATTTTTGTTTTATATGGGACATCTTGTAGAAGGAAGCGAGAAATAATGCGGTAAATGCCGATCGGTATTTGTCAAGTTATTTCTGCTGTGAAAGATACAACGTTTGCTCCGCGTGTATTCGCTCACGAAGCTTCGTCGAGACACTCCGTGATACGGCGAGGCTTGGATACAATTGAACTCGTTAGTTTCTCGTCGCGATCTCCTCGATCCTTCTCATTCCCCAGAAGAACGAAAACTCGACGAGGAGTTCCCTGGGATTGTTAATTTAACGCTGGTCGCTTCGCCAAGCCAAGTTCTGTCTCCCGCGCTGAAAGTCACACACGTGGCCCGACGCTTCCCTTAACGTTTGATAATCACCCTTTGCCATAAAAGTCCGCGGCCAGTTAACAAGTTCTCACAGATATCACCGGCAGCGGATGAGATTGCAGGCGTATTTTTCGCGCGTTCGCTATCCTAATCACGGCGAGAGCCACGGAGCTGTGCTATCAACGATTTCGGGAAATGAGAGTTTGTTCGCCATTCGAAAAGAAAGAAAAGACAAACAATTGCACACACACTGTGTACCACGGCGGTGCTTGTCGTTTCCGTTTCCTCGCCCATTCACGTCACGTCTTGGGAGTACAGTAGGACCAGCCAGTTGAGAGACACCAGAGGGTTGCAAATTGGAATGTTAGTACTCTAGTTAGCTCGATTCCTATCCCCCCCCCCACCCCCTGAGTACCCGGTGAACACCGGACACTAATCCTGTACGATTCTGTTCAACAGCCTGGATGAATATATATATGTGGATAGTTGATGTCCGTGAACGTATACATCTCTTGGATGGAACAAAAGAGACGAACGAGCAAGTGTTGGCAAGTCTTTGAGATGCAAGTGGTGGAAGGACGCGAAAGAGCGAACGAGCGAGAGAGAGAGAGAGAAAGAAAGAAAGAGAGGTGAAAGGATCTGGAGATGAGAGAGTAAAAAGGGAGAGCGAGAGAGAGAGAAAGAGAGAGAGCGAGAGAGAGAGAGAGAGAGCGAGCGAGAGAGAGAGCGAGAGAGGAGTATATATTTTTGCAGGCTAATTTGATGGAATGATGATGATGATAATGATGATGATGATGATGATGATGATGATGATGATAATGATGATAATGATGATGATGATGATGATGATAATGATGGTGATGATGATGATAATGATGATGATGATGATGATGCACTGCGCCGAGAGAAGTTGCTAGACAAGTGTGGAGCGAGTGCTTTTCTGAAAGCGTGGGGGAATTTTTTTCGTAAGCGTGACTGCGAAGCACAACATATGTGAAAAATCGAGGACCCCCGCCGGCCGGTTTAATGTCTTAACGCGATTTTGCTTTCAGATTGCGAGAGCGTACGTCGCGATCTGCGGCGGTGGTTGATCGCAAATTAATCTACGCTTGCTCTCGCAGAGGAAGAGAGAGTGATAACTCCTGAGGCAGACGCGGACGTAAACTTACGTTTGGAAAAGTCTACTTAAATTCGGAGAGGTCTACTGGCCTGGAGATGTTAACCGATGACAAGCTGCGGCAGGATAGTGCGCGAGCGATCGAAGTAATTATTGCTACATTACCGTACGACCTCATTTTGTTCCGAGTGTTTGAACTTTCAATTCGATTTATTAGCAATAATCCTTGATTGACACTAAATGCCATTGTTAAAAGGAAGACAAGAAAATTACTTTTCGATAGGTATTTACATAATTTATACCATTTTCTAGTATACGCCTATTGTTAACTATGTTGTTAACTATGAGATTGTAATAATTTGTAAAAGTAGATTTCTAAACAGCATGTAAACATATAGACTTTCATTTTCGAATACGTATGAGAATAAATTCTATTTATTCTTGTTTCAGATTCGATTATCTGTTGAACATCGCATGTAAGGACTTTCACAATATAATGCCGAATATTCGACGAACATTTAAAGACAAACGTCGACTCACAAATGAAGCCGCATATTATATATTATATTATGAATATTATATTGGAAACGTTCTAATCTAATTTTCTTGTGTATGTTTTGTGTCCGTTTATATGTATGCATAAAATTTAGGAACTTTTTAAATAACACTCGAAAATTCAATTAATACCGTTTCTTATTTAATGACGTTCTCCTGATGCTTCGTTGAACTTCGAAAATTTAAATTACTTTGACATGAAGTTCTACACTTAAAGTTATAAAAATTGCTACAAAATTGTCTTATTTGATTATATACTTCTAATACTTTGTTAATTTCCAAGTTTAGATCATTTTCGTTACTCAAGATTTAAGATTTTCAGATTTAAAGTTATAAAAATTCTTGAAACTTCAGCAAATGTCACTTCTTAACAGGGAATTTTTCTGTTTACTATAATAGTCTACGCGTAAACAATGTAAATTCTGTAACATGTCGTCAATGTCAACAATGAGTAATTTATAGAAAATGGCTTGTCGAAAATTTTCTTTATACTTATTGTAGTTTATAATGTTTATCAGTGTAGGAAAATTGATAACCGACACAACTGGCAATTTTAATTAGAAAAAATTTATTACGAAAAAATATCACCTCAGCCAGGGTTTGATGAACCTGGATTTTCCTACGCTCTAGGCAGAATTATAATGTTTATGTTTCTTATACTGCATATTTCAAACATAACTTAATTTTTATTAAGTCAATGTTATTATTGCACGCATACATACATGTGTATTACTTCTCAATTTTCAACATTTTAAATCTTGATTGATTAAAATCATACATAAACTATATTTACAATATAATCACTTTTTTGCATTTTAACATCTAATTTATAAAGTTCACATATTATCTACATAAAAAATCTAAACAGATAGACAATATACATACAATAAACAACTCGTGTAGACGTTTGATATAGTTTACATTTTTGAGGATTTAAATTTCCTGGCAAATTAATGTCGATAATTAATAACTGTGGCTGCGTTTCGATATTTGCTGTCAATTTGGAAAATCTACAGTTTACGTCACGTGTATAAATTTTTTTAAGTACTGGCAGTATATTATAAATTATACGTGCCAAAGTTATTAGTGATAATTCTACCGACAGTTGGTAAATCCTGTTGTCTTTACCAACAGTCGATAAAGCCACAACCTGTACCCTCCTGTTTTATCGACAGTCGGTAAATTACCAGCCGTATAAAGTCCGATATGAAATGTATGTATGTACATACATACATACATACAATACGTATGTACGTACGGCCTATAATTAATAATTATAAACTCGTAATATTGCAATAGCCAAATGTTGCATTACAAGTTTACTCATTATTTGTATTAGTGTGAACGGAATTATAAAACTGTCCTTTTCGAACTCGGTTATTTCTCGACACGTACGCCGGACGGACCGGAATTAAGTTGGCGCTGGAAGTTCATATTTTCGTATAAAACCTAGCTCAAACGATTGCTCCCGAATTGCTCCATTAGAATCCACAATTGCTCCACTTTTAAAATCAATAGTTTTCGAAATATTAATAAAAAACGTAAAATTTTTAATTTTCAATAAAAAACATATTTCTAATAGCTTTGTGCAATTCTAACCAGCATCAAATGATTGCTCCTTCATTGCTCCATTAGAATCTACAATTGCTCCCCTTTTAAAATAGTTTCTGAAATATTAACAAAAAACGTAAAATTTGTAATTTTCAATAAAAAACTTTTCTAATAGCTTTGTGCAATTCTATCCAGCATACAACGATTGCTCTTTAATTGCTCCATCATTATTTTAATTATTTATTGCATATGTATTTATAGAAAAATTAATAAATTAATCATTTCGCAAGTGACGACGCCGCCACCTATCGGCCGCCTATCGTAATTACATGGCTCTGCAGCATAAACGGCGGAAATATTCAAACGAAACGTAACAGTTCTTTCGTTTACAACTAATCTCAAAGAGTCTAATCGACATTTCCCATTGATTTTTGCTTAGAACAATTGTTCCTCGGTTGCTCCATTGAAATGATCAATAGCTCCATGCGTATAATTGATATTTTTGCAAAAAACCATTCATTTCATTGCAAAAACATATTTCCCATAGTCTTCTGCAAGTTTATTCTACATAGGACGATTACTCCTTCATTGCTTCGCATTGCTCCATCGCTATTTCCACGATTTTGTGCATTTTTATTACAAATATTAACAAATTAATCATTTTGCTAGTGACGACCTAGCCATGTAATACGATAGGCGGCCGAGAGTGGGGGCGTTGGCACTTGAAAAAATATTAGCTTGTTAATATTTTTAATAAAAATGCACAAAATCGTGAAAATAACAATGGAGCAGTGCGAAGCAATAAAGGAGCAATCGTCCTATGTACAATAAACTTGCAGAAGACTATGGGAAATATGTTTTT